TCTATCTATCTATCTATCTATCTATCTATCTATCTATCTATCTATCTATCTATCTATCTATCTATCTATCTATCTATCTATCTATCTATCTATCTATCTATCTATCTATCTATCTATCTATCTATCTATCTATCTATCTATCTATCTATCTATCTATCTATCTATCTATCTATCTATCTATCTATCTATCTATCTATCTATCTATCTATCTATCTATCTATCTATCTATCTATCTATCTATCTATCTATCTATCTATCTATCTATCTATCTATCTATCTATCTATCTATCTATCTATCTATCTATCTATCTATCTATCTATCTATCTATCTATCTATCTATCTATCTATCTATCTATCTATCTATCTATCTATCTATCTATCTATCTATCTATCTATCTATCTATCTATCTATCTATCTATCTATCTATCTATCTATCTATCTATCTATCTATCTATCTATCTATCTATCTATCTATCTATCTATCTATCTATCTATCTATCTATCTATCTATCTATCTATCTATCTATCTATCTATCTATCTATCTATCTATCTATCTATCTATCTATCTATCTATCTATCTATCTATCTATCTATCTATCTATCTATCTATCTATCTATCTATCTATCTATCTATCTATCTATCTATCTATCTATCTATCTATCTATCTATCTATCTATCTATCTATCTATCTATCTATCTATCTATCTATCTATCTATCTATCTATCTATCTATCTATCTATCTATCTATCTATCTATCTATCTATCTATCTATCTATCTATCTATCTATCTATCTATCTATCTATCTATCTATCTATCTATCTATCTATCTATCTATCTATCTATCTATCTATCTATCTATCTATCTATCTATCTATCTATCTATCTATCTATCTATCTATCTATCTATCTATCTATCTATCTATCTATCTATCTATCTATCTATCTATCTATCTATCTATCTATCTATCTATCTATCTATCTATCTATCTATCTATCTATCTATCTATCTATCTATCTATCTATCTATCTATCTATCTATCTATCTATCTATCTATCTATCTATCTA